ATCATTTCACTATAAATATATAAAAATCAAATAATTAAGTATTCGATTCCAACCAAATGCTGCTATCTTAATTTTGGTATTAACGATATTTAGGAAGTATGAAGGTTGTTAAATACTATCAAATAAAATCAGTTGCGAGTAGCCATAATTTAGACTTTAAATCGATTTTGAAATAACAAGATTTTAGATTAATTTAACTCTTACTTTACAATGTAATGTGACGATGAAAAATTTATTTGTCTGCAAATTTAAAGTTTATATGATATTGAAGACTAATTAGTTGATAATTGCAGCGATTTTATTAAAATAACCGCTTACAAAACACTCGTAACTTTGATCGAAAAGTTACATTAACGGGGCAAACCAATTATTTAATGCTTTTGAGTGACCTAATTTTTACATCTCTAAACTATACATTATCAAAATGTAAACACAAAAAAATGAATTTGAAAGAAGACACAGTTGTATTTATATATATATATATATATATATATATATATATATATATATATATATATATATATATATATATATATATATATATATATATATATATATATATATATATTATATATATATATATATATATATAATATATATACATATATATATATATATATATATATATATATATATATATATATATATATATATATATATATATATATATATATATATATATATATATATATATATATATATATATATATATATATATATACATATATATATATATATATATATATATATATATATATATATATATATATATATATATATATATATATATATATATATATATATATATATATATATTAGGGTTGTTCGCCGAAAAACAAAACTTGCGAAAATTTCGCATCTTTATCTACCGTAATAGAATTGTTATTGCGGAAGTTGCACATGCAAAAATGCACATTTCGTAACGCGCTATACAAAAATATAAATAAATAAAATTCCGTAATAAAGCATTGCGAAAGAAAACTTGCGAAACAAATCATTTCGTAAGAATACTTACGAAATAGTTCCTTACGGAAAAAGCATTCCGGAATGTGCAGTTACGAAAAAGACGCAAAGATTTTATGCTACGATATATTTAAGATATTAACTGTTAACAGTTTAAATAATAAATAATAAAATTATAAAAAAATGTTGTCAAATGATTCTTCAAATGTTTATACAAACATACCTAATATATATATATATATATATATATATATATATATAAATATATATACATATATATATATATATATATATATATATATATATATATATATATATATATATATATATATATATATATTTTTATATATATATATATATATATATATATATATATATATATATATATATATATATATTTATATATATATATATATATATATATATATATATATATACAGTAAAATCCAGTTTAGTTGGACTCTCAATGAACAGATAAACAGTATGCCTTTCTTTTTAAAAAGTATAAAGAGGATGTGTGATATATATATATATATATATATATATATATATATATATATATATATATATATATATATATATATATATATATATATATATACATATATATATATATAAATATATATATATATATATATATATATATATATATATATATATATATATATATATATATATATATATATATATATATATATATATATATATATATGTATATATATATATATATATATATATATACATATATATATACTTATATATATATATATATGAACAGCGGGATGTGAACCTGGGTCTCCGCGGCAAAATGTCTTAACTAAATGAGCTATACGTTCATTCAACTAAGTGAATAGTAATATTTATTTATTATATAAATAAGAAACTATATAAAACAGAATTTACAGAAAGAGATACGTATGCAAATAGGATTCTATATATCAGGAAAATAAATAGTAATGTGAATCTTTAGTTGCTATCTGGACTCGAAAACTAGTTACTTTTAATGGAACACAATAGGCTGTAGGAGCCTCAGGAAAATTATATTCAGAAATGATTATATTAGGCTCAGAGTTAGCTAGAAATTGTTTCAAGGTGTTTAGGACAGATTTTTATTTTTAATATACGTAATGACTTCAAAAAACATCGTTATATATATTTATGGCACGTTTCGTAAGTTTATTTCCGTTAAGAGTTCTTTCGTATGTTGTGATCCGAAATACTTTCGTTTCGAAAGAAATTTTATTTTTTATCAATATTTCTAAAAATAAAACCATAAAAATTTAATATGTTATTATACTGAAAATAAAAATTCATTATAAACATTTTGGGATTTAAAGATGTTAATTTTTACAATTAAAATCAGTCTGGCAAACAAATTTTCTTTATAGACTTCAAAACGTCGTTTGGCGAAAATGTTTGTTTCGTCAGGGTTTTCTATTTGAAGGATGTTAGTGACTATTAGTTTAATTATTTTTTAATATCCTAACGGTTTAGATCGCGTTTAGATGGCATTTACGTCGATCTAAACGTTTAGGAATCTTTTCTAAACGTGTTCTGAATATTTAACTTGCGTTGAAAAGCTAATTGAAACAATTTCCGTACGGAACTAACTTAATTAAATTAGTTTCGCATAGAATGTGTCGGACATTTTGAATCTTTCATTATGATTATAAACTAGAATTAATTGTGAAACTTTAATTATGTAATAAATGGTTTAGAATAGACAAAAGAAATTTGTTTTTAGTATTACATTGTGGCTAATAAAGCAGCTAAAAAGTCCTATTAGTTCTTCGATTATATTGTATAAGCGATTAAAAGTTATTTCAAGTATAGTAACAATGTATTTTGATAATTCTTTTTTTTTCAGTTATTGCTACTAAAATAAAAGTTTCAAAAAAGTAGCAGTAGTTTCAAAAAAGTTTCAGTTTCAGCATTTTTTTAAACAATTTCATAAATTGTTTTTTCTGTTTGGTTTTTAACAACGCTATAGAACGTCTATAGTAAACTCTTAGCTTCCTAATTTTTCTGCTTTTACTAAAAGTAGAAAAATTATGAAAAATACTTTCAACATAAAATGCTTAAATTTTCTCTAAAAGTAAAAGAGAAAAATTATGCATTTTAAGTGGTAACTAAATAAAATTATTATTGTTTGTTTATATTAAGTTCTAACATTTATTTGTTTATGGTAGATGTTATATTGATTGAAGAGTAATGTTATATTATTTATACTTTTAGTGCAGTCAGTGCCAATCAAAAATTGTGAAATTCAAAAATTTATATAATGGATCTTCAGTTTTAATGTAGGCTTTTAGTGTAAACTGAAAAAGATTTTTGAAAATTTGAATATTAATCATAACCATCAAAAAGAAAATAAATTTACTTACCTCTGATATGATAGATTATTATATTGTATCATTTATTTTCTCTTTAGTAGAAATATTAACATGGTTTGAACAATAATATATATAGTTTTATTACATAATTTTTTAAAATTCACGCAAATATATTTTTTATTGTTAATTAAGTTTTGCGTGTTTATTTTCATTTAATATTTTATATACAGTCCAATCAGTTGCAACAACAATTAAAACAGTAGGAAACATCCAAGTACACATGCAAGTGGTAAACTGATTTTTTGTGACGTTTTCACTCCTTCAAAATTTAGATTTTCCTAAAATAATGATTAAATTAATGACTATTTCTGTAAATATCATTCTGTAATTAAAAATTGCAACGATTTTTAAAACTAATAGTTATTTTTTTTACTAATTAAATTTTTAACAAGTATTAATTTATACAAGATAAACTGCTAAAATATTAAATATGATTCTAATCTGTCAGATATTTACCTTTTAAATCATAATCTAATTGCTCAGGCTTATGAAAAGCTATTTATAAAAATTCAACGCTTAAAAAATATTGTAAGATTAAAGGTAATTTCTGTTTTATTTGAAAGGTACGTTGATGATTGGTTCGAGTCTTTAAAGTTTAAATTAGTTAAAAGAGAGATCAAATTATTCTGTTTTTATCTTATGCTCTATATCTAAAAGCTATTGAAATATTTATTGCATTATTATTCATTTATTTTATTATGTTATGGAAGACCTACCAAGCCTGAAGTTTTACAAGTTGAAATATATAGTATGTATATCATCCCTCGGAATTAGAAAAACTAAAGTCAGCAAAAAATGCTAAAAAACTGAACTTATTTAAAACACTTTTGATAAGTTTAGTTACAAGTTAATGTTATGTGTTGATGTACCTTCAACCAAATAACTGTTAACATTTCAGCAAAATGTCATATAGCCAGGCTGTTTGGTTGGAAGAACCAAAAGCATGATATTTTATTCAGTTGTTATTTTAATTTGTGATATTGTAATTTTTATTCACAAAATGTTAAATAATTTAGTTTTTACATTTATTTGTGATTGCTTTGGATAAGATGTTTTGTTATTCCTTTTACAGATTGTTATGAGGATTTCAAAAGTTTTAAATAACAGAAACTGGAAAAGGCATTAAAAACCAGCAGATTAAGAAAAAGCGCAAAAAAAAAGGCATTGATAATCAGCAGATAACAAAAAATTACTGATTATACAACTCTTTTAAAGGTTTTATTTTGATTTGTTAATATTTATATAGAAGCTTATAATATATAAACTAAAAATAGTTTTTTTTTTCTATTTCTTCGGAGTTAATATTACTAGTTTAATGCAATTAAAGTAGAAATGGTTAATTATGGATAAATTGCACTAAAAATTGAATAAACTGCTTGTTAAAGCAAATAATATTAAAAAGAAGCAAGTTTTAATAAGTAAATGATCAACCATTTTTACGGTAGAGTTAAATAGTTTTTATTTTTCAATTGAAGAAAAATTTTGTGTTAATGTTAATGCAAAAGGTACGAATATTGACAGGTTAGCTAATTTGATGTTTCAATAAACATAAAATAAAGTATGTAAAGACCTTAGTGCTAGAAGTACTTGCATGCATTATTCATGCATGCTTTATTATAATATAGCATGCTTGCATGATGCATTCAAGTATTAAAAAAAAAGTTACAAATGTTTATTTATACAAAAAGATTATGGATGTGGTACCGCAAGTATATTCAATTGAATATGCAAGTAAGTTGTCCTACTTTACATCTTTGAAGACTAATTATATTTGTAATGAACATATCTCAAACAATATACACTCGGATTTACATTCTAGTTAAACCATCACCACTTCTACATCCACCTTGTCTCAAGCATTCTATTGCATTCTAAGATATCTTTATTCAAATCAAGTGTGACTACTATACTAAAAGACTGTAGAATGGACCAATCGAGTAAGATGCTTAAACTTAAATCTTTTATATAGACTCCTTTACTTTTAAATAAACCTGTTAATTTATGACTTATGAACATATTTAGCAATGTAATCTTTTTAGAATAGACTTTTTAAAATCAATTTTACAATGCTTTACTAAATTTTTATTTAAAATAACTTTGCATACATAATATATCTGTATAGTTATTAACATTCTAGATAAACCATCAGTACTTGCAAAGTCTCCTTTTCTGTTAGCCCGAAAATCTATTTCTAAAATACCATTATTCACATAACTACTATATCAAAACACAAACTAATGGATTGATCAAGTTATGCCTAACTTTTAGCTTGAGTTGCGTGTTAGTACATATATGATTTTGTTGTAAAAATTTTAATTATTATGTTTATTGATTAGTTTTTAACATTGATAATTTTAAGAATTACAATTTTATTTTTACATGTTTATTTATATTGTAGTGAAACTGTCGGTATCTCCACAACTTTTCAATTGAATAGAAAGTTTCAATCAAACAGGATACTGAGTGTGCCTACTGCTCCTCAAGACCAGTGGCGGAACTACTGGACGCAGGACCCTGCGTTGCGGGGGGGGCCTACCAGCTATAGGGAGCCCTCATATAAAAAAAGTTATACTCTCAATAATATTTATACTATAAAACTCTTTTCCGCAAAAAAAATATTCTTTTGCGGTGGGGCCCAAATTTTGAAGTTCCGCCACTGCTCAAGACAATGGATAATGGGAGTTATAAAACTTTATATATATATATATATATATATATATATATATATATATATATATATTTATATATATATATATATATATATATATATATATATATATATATATATATATATATATATATATATATATATATATATATATATATATATACATATATATATATATACATATATATATATATATATATATATATATATATATATATATATATATATATATATATATATATATATATATATATATATATATATATATATATATATATATATGAATTACAGATATTGTTATTAAGTAATAGAATACTATATAATATTGTATTACTATGTTTAGGAAGGGCACTTCAGTTGTCCTGCAGCTATGCAACTTATTAGTTATCAACCCATAAATGTGTTAACTACAATTTTTTTAATAAGGTTTTTATTTTATAAATGTTATATATCTTACAGAGTTTTAAAGAAAAGTTTTCTATTAATTGTTACTATAGTTACTCAAAGTACACTGTACTAATGTACAACCTTCTAAAACCTAAAAAACTATGGATTTATAAAGTTGTTGAATGAATGAATAATATGAATAGAATGAAGATGTTTATTGAGTTATTATTATTATTTTTAAAAAAGAGATTGTATAACTTCGGTATCCTCAATACGGTATTGTGCATTGGTTCCCATCTTAGAATGGCTCCCTTACGTATAGGTGGAAACAGGAAAGGTTATGTCTTTTTTTCTAATTCTTAAGACGAAGAGGCTTAGTCGGTCCAAGCAAAGATGACTATGATTAATGTGGAGCTGATCATAATGACGAATACGATAATGCATATAATAAATAAAATGATTTTACTTGTATTTTAGACTAATATAAATAAAAAATTATCTGTTTTACGTTTGATTTATTTATGAGTATTTAGATAATGCGTTCAGCGTTTAACTATTCTTTACAGTGCTTATTTAAAGCTGCTTAAATAACAGATAAGTTTGATTCGTTTATCAGTATTTCTTTTATTTATGCTTCTTTAAATAAGCGCCGTAAAATAAAGTTAAACGTCGCCAAGTTTAAAACGAAAGATTTAGATGGAGTTTAAATAGCGTTTAAAACGAATTATTTAGATATGGTTTTAAAGGAACATTCGATTGAACTACGTTCTAGATCGAAACTAAATTAAATCTAAACATTTATAACGAACATTAACTAAACGTTGATTAAATGTTCGAATGCCCGCCAGGGCCGCCGAGAGGAAGAGACCACCGGGACAGTTTGTCCTGGGCGGCAGATATCTAAGGGGCGCCAAATGAAATCTAGGTGTCTAAAAAAAAAAAAAGGTTCTTCATATATTATATAGGAAAAATTTGATAAATAAGGGCGCCAATCAGGATTGCTGTCCCAGGCGGCGTGACAGCTCTCGGCGGCCCTGATTCCTGCTGGGTATTTATTTTTATGTATAAGGCTTTTTAAAGTTTTAAACATTACAATTTTTTAATCAAATTACTGCAATCAACTAATTAGTTTTCAATATCATATAAACTTTAAATTTTTAGACAAATAAATTTTTTAACGTCACTATGCATTGTAAAGTAAGAATTAAATTAGTCTAAAATCTTGATATTTCAAAATCGATAAAAGTTGTCGATTTTGAACTTAAAATTATATCATAAAGGATTCATGGTTGCAGCTGTTAATTTTTTGTCAACAAAAACTACCGTTTAGTAAATGCAAAATCCAGGAAGTTAAACAACATGCGAATGGCATTTATAAAAAGGAAGATGAGGAAATTTAGAAAAACATGTTTAAAATACCTACAACTCTAAGATATATTATGAATAAATTAATTATTAATATGTAAATTTTTTATAAGCGGTAAGTTAATATGTTTATTTAAAATAAAAACAGTCCGAAGCTTTTTTAATTGAAAAAAGTTATGTAAATTTTGAGAATAAGTATTTTTGAAAAGAAAAAAAAAATTGCGAAAATTTGACATTTTTAAAGCCATTATAAATGGTTTTCGCAAGCTTGCCTTTATATCTAGTAATTAAACAGACCCATTTTTGTCTAGAGTAATGGACCTCTGTTTTAATAATTATAAAAACAGAGGTCCTTTACTCTATTCAAAAATGTATCCGTTTAATTACTAGGTATGAAGGCAAGCTTGCGAGAACCATTTATAATGACTTTAAAAATGTTAAATTTCGCTTTTATTTTTTTTCAAAAATACTTATCCTCAAACTTTACATAACTTTTTTCAATAAAAAAAGCTTTGAATTTTTTTTTCGTGGCTTAAAGATCCAAAAAGGTCAAACCTTCTAAACCTTTTTTTTTTTTTATCATAATGAAATAAAAAAAGTTTAGAAGGTTTGACCTTTTTGGAACTTTTGGGCACAAAAGAAAAAAATTCGTCCCACTGTAGACTAGTATGAATTCAGCGAATAAAAAAAATTAGTTTAACTGAAGGGTTTTACAAAAGAAGCAACGTCACAACAAATATATATAATATAAAGTACTACTTAAAAATATTATGTAAGTATCCAGTTTGAAGATATAAAATATTAAATATTTATGATAAAAATTTTATTTATTTAAAATATCTTTTTATTATATGATTACAGTGAACCATTTTTCTTCAGATATTTGACTACACTTGATAAAAAGACCGAAATCGGTCATGTCTAAACCTGAATTCAAAAAAAAAAAAAAGATATTGTGAGCCACTTTATATTCTACGTAGAATAGTTGGTACAAGAGTCAATGTTGACGGACTGGTGTTAAAAAATCTTATTTATAGAAATGGTAGATAGGCCATATGACACCAGATTAAAATTGTTGAAATACCTGCTCATACCTTCAATTAACTTCAACCTTGCAATATATAAAAGTATTTGATGATGCAACAACAGTCAAGTAGAATAATTAGACAACTGAAAAATTAAAAACAGTTTTACCAGATATCGAACTAGGGTAAATTAAGATTAGTCTGACACCTATTAATTAAATTACCAATCTAAGATCTCCTGTAGCAGTTGATTTGGACTATATACCTAAAACGATAACAAAAAACAAAATTTCAGATCAAAATCTAGTCAGTGTCGGATCGAGGGGTGAATGGGGAAGGCTAGGGGGACTATATCCCCGGGCATCGCAAATTTAAGGGCCTCCGAAAAATTTAGAGGACCTTGTTTTTTTTTTAAAGTCATTTTTAGGTTCTGGACCATAAAAAGGCCTCCAAAAACAAAAACAGCCCCGGGCCCCAAGAAGTCAATCCGCCACTGAATCTAGTGATGGTGATGAAAAAGTTATGATGAATACCTCTTTGACAAACAACATCTAGAGTCTTTTCAGCTCTGCTTTTTAAAAGAGAATAATTTAAAAAACACAGAAAAAATAAAACCTTTATTTAATACAGCTGCAATGACTAGTCTTTTTTGTGGCGTTTTAAACAGCTACTAAACTCCGAAGCTGGACTATTAATTGATCAGTATACAATTGGTTTTACACTTTCAATACCATCAGCATCTGTTTTGTAAATGCTAAATCTTTTGCTCCAAATGTAAAATTCAACATACTCATGAGATAGAGATTATTCATGAAGTAGATATTATCCATGTGATAGAGAATTATTCATGAGGTAAAGGTTATTCATAAGAAAGAGATTATTCATCAGATGAGAATTATTCATGAGATAGAGATTATGATACTTTGTTGGGTGCAGATCCAGATTTTGAAAAAGCATAAAAGTTAAAAAAAATCAAATAAATTTTATGCTCGTACTTTTATGGAGACATATAAGTCTCAATTAAATAACATCCAAAAAAAAACCTTAAAATGAAGACGAAAAAGAAATACAAATACTAAGAAAAAAATTCAAGCTAAAACTGAAGTAAAAAAAAAAATTATTCTTTAAAAAATGTTACTGTAAAAATAAAAAAATTAAAAAACTAATATGTAACTTTGTAACACTTTGTTTTTTTCTAGATTTATACTTAATATTATTTTACCTTTAGAGTTAATTTGTTTAAAAGATATACAATCTGTTCTTTTTTGTTAACAATTTATCTTTTTATAATAAATTTTTTTAAAAAACTGGCTTCCTTTTTACAAACAGCTCCTCCCTATATAAATATTTGAGTCTTTATTTCTTTCATTAAATATGTTTAACTTAAATTTATTGTTTTTTTCTTAGAAAGGTATGTGTACAAAGTGTTACATAAACTTAGTAACTTTCATTAAGTTTTTAGGATTTTTTGTAGAGAGAATGTTTTCTCCATATTAATAATTTAATGTTTTATACATTGACCTTTTATCTTTAGAATATAAAACATTTAATAAAAAATTAAAACAGTTCAAGAAGTATCAATATTTTCAAGTTTCTTCACTTGACGCAAGAAAATGATTGTTTAAAGAAGTCTTTTATTAATAGTTAAGTATTTACTTATAAATTGCAAATCTTGCATTAAATGCGTTTTAAAGTAATGAAAGGGATTTTTTGACGAAGGATTATATTTCACCATTTAATGTTAGCAGTATTTGCTAAGCAGACAGCCTTTATAGTTTATTCAATTTGTATTATTTGAGATTTTATCTGTAAAAATGTTATAACATTTTTAGTTACTTTTTATTAATTTCTCGATCAAATACTAATAATTGTCAAAAATTATTAATAACTACATTAAAAATATATCATTACTCAATTATTAAGATTATATCAATTTATTTATACTATTAATTTAAGTTTTTGATAAAAACATGTTATCTTTCATATTGCTATTGTATTTTAAAACATCTAATTTAAATATGACTAATAGTAGAGGTAGAAA